TGTTAAAATATTTGAATCCCACCACTGGTTTTAAGGTAGGCTTTCTTTCAGTACCACAATATATTAATACATCTCGTAATGTATATTAACTCGAGTGTAATTTTACGATTTATGTTAAAGTGTTTAGCAGTGTAAGTTATCTTGTGCGTGTCATTTTTGATACTTCACACTTTGTGGTCCTTTCGTCTCTGTCACCAAAAAATATATAAATGTCACTACTACTAGTGTTTGTAAATTGACACGCTGTCTGAGAAATGTACTGTAGGTTTATTAGATGTACAGATCAATTTATAAATTTAATAGCCGATTCACTGAAACGAAGAGGAGATTGTAAATTTAATAGATGAACAAATAAATCTGTCAGCTAACTTGTCAGTCTTCAAGTAGTACACATTGACAAGTCCGTTTATAAACCTCCCGGATTACTGAAATAAAAGGACCAATAAAAACGCAATGTTTAAATGGGTCATACAATTTAGTTTAAACGGTGAACATTATAACTTAAACTGAAAAATTACACTTGGCGCCTCATAGCCGAGCACATATGGTATAAACATGTTGTTGCGACCTTCACATATACAAACGTACAATACAGATTGTAATATTAGATATTTGTAGATATGGCCTTTCAAAGAAAGTGAAACCCCTTTAACCTGCAATACCACTGAGAGTGAAATCTCCTTAACCTACAATATCTCCGAGAGTGAAACCCTCTTTAACCTGCAATACTACTGAGAGTGAAACTTCCTTTAACCTACAATACCACTGAGAGTGAAACCCCATTAACCTGCAATACCACTGAGAGTGAAATCTCCTTAACCTACAATATCTCCGAGAGTGAAACCCTCTTTAACCTGCAATACTACTGAGAGTGAAACTTCCTTTAACCTACAATACCACTGACAGTGAAACCCCTTTAACCTGCAATACCACTGAGAGTGAAATCTCCTTAACTTACAATATCACCGAGAATGAAATCTCTTTAACCCGCAATACTACTGAGAGTGAAACCCCATTAACCTACAATATCACCGAGAATGAAATCTCTTTAACCCGCAATACTACTGAGAGTGAAACCCCCTTTAACCAGCAATACTACTGAAAGTGAAACCCCCTTCAAACAACAGTACTACTGAAAGTGAAACCCTCTTTAACCTACAATGATACAGTTGGATATTCAAGCCTTCTTCCAGTTTGAGGGTTAGCTTCACTTACAAATAGAAAACAAAAGCAAAGATTCATATTTTAAAATAGTACCTAGATCCAGGATTCTAGACATTTGTGTCATTAAAATATAATGTAGATAATAATAAAATCACAATTTCTGAAAACTATAAATATATTTTAAACAAATATACATAAAATCATTCCCATAAAACATGAAATAATTAACGCAACACAAACATATATATATGTTGGGAAAACATAGCCTACAACACGTGCGCTGCCTTACACTACGATATTCGTACATTATCCACATTATGGCATGGCCTGGTGGTTAGGGCGTTCGACTTGCAATCTTCTGGATCGAAACCTGTCATCGAACACGCTCGTTCTTTCAGCTGAAAGGGAGTTAGAATATGGCAGATAACCGCACTATTTGTTGGTAAAAGAGTAACCCAAGAGTTGGCGGTGGGTGGTGCTGGCTAGCTGCCTTCCATCTAGTCTATCACTTCCAAATTAGGGATGGCTAGCGCATATAGCCTTCAAGTAAGCTTTGCGCGAAATTAAAAACAAAGAAACTAACTAAACTAAATAACCAATTTTAGAAAAAACATCTTCCCTTATGGCGAGTGTTTGGCAACATTTAAATGTTTTTTCTACACTAAAAATCGAGAGACAGAGAAAGAAAATATCAGTATAGTAAACTCCATATTCACGTCACTAATTCAACTCGTTAATCTTCCTTTCCCAATCTCTCTTGTTTGGAGCTGGTTGTAGGTCAACTAAATGGGGCAAGGTCCAAAAGTCCGTCGATCTCTTCGAATGTGTGAAACAACCAACTTTAAGTTTGACACGAACGTTCGGGACTAATTAAATACAGTAACAGTTCGGAATAAACATGTATAAGATGGTGAATAAAAAAGTTTTACCTCATACGACTACCGAGATAAACTTTTACCTTCAACTTTAGCCATTCCAACCCCTAGCGGCAAATCTGAACATTTATGACATTAAAAATCTAATTTTAATACTCGCGGTGGGGGGTAGAGCAGACGACTCATCTTTTTAGTCTTACGCCTAAGAACTAACAAAAATTTTAAATTAACGACTTGTTTTTATAACGAGATTCAAATATAACACAGTTGTCAGTATTCCCACCCCACCCCAAGTGACCGACTTGTTTTTATAACGAGATTCAAATATAACACAGTTTTCAGTATTCCCACCCCAAGTTACCGACTTGTTTTTATAACAAGATTCAAATATAACACAGTATTCAGTATTCCCACCCCACCCCAAGTTACCGACTTGTTTTTATAACGAGATTCAAATATAACACAGTTGTTAGTATTCCCACCCCACCCCAAGTTACCGACTTGTTTTTATAACGAGATTCAAATATAACACAGTATTCAGTATTCCCACCCCAAGTTACCGACTTGTTTTTAGAAATATTTGTTTCACCTTATGTTATTGTTTGTTAAAGAACTAAAATATTGAGGGAAATCAATAACTTGAATGGAACGCCAACAGTAATACTGGCGGCATGTTTGTTTTAATAACTGTAATACTGGAGTCATGTTTGTTTGTAATATCTGTAATACTGGAGTCACGTTTGTTTGAATTATCTGTAATACTAAAGGCATGTTTGTTTGTAATATCTGTAATACTGGAGGCCTGTTTGTTTGAATATCTGTAGTACTGGAGTCATGTTTGTTTTAATAACTTTAATACTGGAGTCACGTTTGTTTGGAATATCTGTAGTACTGGAGGCATGTTTGTTTGGAATATCTGTAAACAAACGTGACTCCAGTACTACAGATAATCCAAACAAACATGCCGCCAGTACTACAGATATTCCAAACAAACATGCCTCCAGTACTACAGATATTCCAAACAAACGTGACTCCAGTATTAAAGTTATTAAAACAAACATGACTCCAGTACTACAGATATTCTGTTTGTTTGGATTATCTGTAATACTGGCGGCATGTTTGTTTGGAATATCTGTAATACTGGAGGCATGTTTGTTTGGATTATCTGTAATACTGGCGGCATGTTTGTTTGGAATATCTGTAGTACTGGAGGCATGTTTGTTTGGAATATCTGTAGTATTGGAGGCATGTTTGTTTGGATTATTTGAAATATTGGCAGTATGTTTGTTTAAATTTGCAATTCTTTTATTCAAAAAGTCATGGATCCAACAACGTGGAAAAATATGTTTAAAAAGTCGATGGGTTCCAGGACCCCATTGGAAATTCTGGGGTTGACTAGGTAAACACAGTTTGAACAGAATCTTGGATAACCTAACCATAGTTACAATATATCTATGACTATATATTGTATACGTTTATGAATATATATATATATATATATATCTTCAAATATTTTCTTAAGTCATAATACGCTAACTTAATATTTTCACTTTTTCGGTACACATAGACTATATGAATAATTGTATGTTTAAAGGTTGTATATTATTTTTAACATTATGCCGCAAGATGACGCTAGCATCAACCTGTTAAACAATTCTACGAGTGACGATCATTTTACAGAGCCAGTAGGTGGCCTTTTGTTGGTTAGCTTTTTGATATTGTAATAAGCTCGGTAATACTTGTTTTAACGTAATTTTTTAATAATTTATATATTTTATTTTTCATTATCATGTGTATCTTATTTATTGAACTTAAATAAAGCTAACACAAAATCCCCCTCCTCTACACACACACACACAAATAAAAACAACAGCAAAGTAATGAGATGTAGTTATTATTTATAAAGCAGTGATACATAAATAACTATCTTTTACTTCTACGGAACCATAACTCCGGTCATTCCATGACGTCATACGGGCCCTGTAATATTTTACCTGAAATATAAGTAACACAAACCTGTCTGTCTATCTATCCTTTTATCTGTCTTATCAATCTCTCTCTCTTTTGTTCTAGTTTCAAATGTGCAGGAAATGTAGTTGTTTTTTTTTAAGCAAAATTAAAAGATAAACTTCAATTTCAATGAGAAAATAATAAAAATAAGTGAAACTTCACGCTTTTGATACCTTCCTTTTTTTAACATAAATAATATCAACACTAAATTAATTTTATAATTATAAACGGTGCTAAAGCACTAACGAACCTCAATGATCATTGAAAAAAGTTTTATCACCACCAGGTGACTCTTATTTGATTCCAAAGTGAGCAGCACACTTTTGTGGCAACGGGACGCGAACCATGAACCTTCGTGCACCTTATGTTTATTACGAGGTGTCTGTCCGACCGTTCGTCTGTCTCCCATTTGAAAAGCTGCGCACGCATGCAAAACTCAACATTCACTTTTGAAATGATGGGATAACAGGCATGAATAATGTTGATGCCAAATTTTATTTCGCAAACAGGATTTTCTACGCTAAATTATTAGTAATTAATCACACGAGCATTCACATTTTAAAATGTGTCGTAACTTAAAGAATAAAATTGTAGATTTACTTTATGTTATTGTTGAGTGGTTCTTAGCATGACTGAAATGCTCAACAATACTGAGTGGTTCTTAGCATGACTGAAATGCTCCTCAATTACTTTTCGCTGTGGGCGGTATAAGTAGCTCAAAGCTTTGGCTCCGAGTGAAACCAAGAGTGCAACACAATTAACCTTTTTAAAGTCCTGAAATAATTTAAATTGATAGATTAACTTAAACTTTCCCGTCACTGGGGACGGGTACTTTTGCTTGTGTATTATAATCATTAGAATACTTCTATAACTCGACAATTTTGACAGAAGTGTGTGTTTCATAACTTGTTGTAGTAGGATTTGATCGTATCCACGATCCCAAAGTGTGGAGTGTGAATGGATTTTGAGCCTTGATATATTGGATTCACAGTCCGGGCTTGTTACCACTAGACACACATGGTCTTGTCTGTAAAAGAGAGCGATCGGTAATTTACAGCTAATATCTTCATCTTCCAAAAAATAAAAATTCGCTTTCTTACTTTATGTTCTACAAGATCTTCCTTGTTCCACAAGTTTGCCAGATGGCCTTTGTCGATAACTTCACCATACCCCTGAAATGGATCAGAACATATATTAATATCAGTCTATTCTACACCATTATTAGTACTTTATATCTCGTGTTACAATATTTGGTAGTTAATATTTCACGTATGTTATTAGTTCTCAAGCTTATATGTCAATTCAAAATTTCTCCCACTACTCTATGTTTCCCGGACTCTACCACCAGGGTATGCTCACATTGCGGTCAGTACTTTGGTCTGAATCCTATGTATGTACGCGTGAATGGAGAATCTGCCTGAGTATCTGGTCAAATAAATGTATAAAGTTCTGGATTCTATAAACAAACAGTAGGAAAGCTATTTATCTTTCAAACTAAATGATATACTTAGTTACGTACTAACACATGATTATTTGTTTCCCACCACTACTTACTTCGCACCACCCCCCACTGTTCCCGTTTTTGTACCGCCCACTAAGCTTGAAAATAAATAATAATATAACCAGTACTTCAGACTTACTTTCATTCTTTATGTAAAGTAAAAACTATGAAAGTTAACAAGTCAGGAATATCCTACCACCCAGAGCGAGGAATAGTTAGTGGTGGGACAGCGATTTACAACGTTAAAATCAGGGGTTCGATTCCCCTCGGTGGACACAGCAGACAGCCCAATGTGGCTTTGCTATAAAACACACACACAATTAGTGGTATCGCATGGATTCGAACCCAGGTTCCCAGCTCCAAAATCCACAGGGGCCAACCCGCGCCCCTTGTAAAAATGGATTTCTCTTAGAGTTTCAGAGAATTCTGTCTATTTTATATCAATCCATTTAAAATAGTAGTATTGTTTGTAAGTACCCGTAAACAGCTAATTTATTTGTTTCGGACATACACACAAAACTACACAAGATCAATCTGTGCTAGCAATCTTTGATTTTCAAATGACAGACTAGAGGGAAGACAACTAGTCAATATCAACCTCCGCCAACTCCAGGGCTATACTAACCAAAGAGTGGAATTTGCCTATCACTCTTATTACGCACCAGCGATCTCAAAGGATAGAGCGCGATTTTGCGGGAACGGGACGCGAACCTTGAGTTTTTGAGCATGATAATCCTATAACTATATGGAGTTTAAACTGTAACGTGTATATAATAAGTTGTTCCAGATGTCACTCTCCTCCAGCTTTGGACACCAGGAATGGCTTAATGAGTTTTCTTTGGTCAAAAGATTTGTTTGTTTGTTTGTTTTGAATTTCGCGCAAAGCTACACGAGGGCTATTTGCGCTAGCCGTCCCTAATTTAGCAGTGTAAGACTAGAGGGAAGGCAGTTAGTCATCACCACCCACCGCTAACTCTTGGGCTACTCTTTTACCAACGAATAGTGGGATTGACCTTCACAATATAACGCCGCCACGGCTGAAAGGGCGAGCATGTTTGGTGGTCAAAAGACGTGTTAGGAAGAACTGCAGAAAAAAAAAATAGGCATGTTGTAATAAGACAACGTTTTTCAAAGAAATTTACTTCTACGACAATAGTTAAAGCCAACAGCTATTGTTTTTCTGTAAAATATACTATATTATTTATTTTTTAATACTGTCATCATCAATATTGGTTAGACTATTTAATATACAGAATGCCATTACTTTTTCATTTATTTTATTTTTATAGTACACTTTTATCACAAAATTTTATTGGGATTACGGACGAAAATGTCGTTAACAGTAAGGGTACTCATCTGATGAAACAATGCATTCTAATCTTTATAAGTAGAAACGTAAGAAGGGTGTATTTAATTAATTAGCTCTACTAATGGCTGGGTTAATTTTTAGTTTCGCTCTAAGTACGTAGCTCACTGTAATCGGAAGTTATTATTTTGGGGTCATGTTGAAGTAATTAATATCACGAGTGGAACTCATGATTCAGCTAGCGCTAAACTATTCCGTTCATTTAGCTACTTACCAGTAAACAGCCACTATCAAAAAATATCCAAAACTTTTTACTGTATACATTAGAAATATCGTATTATTTAGCGCAAGGAAAATAACAAGTCCCCTAGCGATGATTCCTGTAACGATCAAACAAACTAGAGTTGTACTTTTTATTACCAACCCATGGCGTGTGACTTGACGAATCATCAATAAGCATGGGAATGATCCCTTAATCCCTGTCTTTGCCATTTGATTCGCTGTTCGGGATTAATGCCATCTGCCGGGTTACTAGGGCACTTGGTAAAAGAGATGACGATTCGTGTGCACGTGTTTTCCTGTGTGAATGTGATTAAATCTCAACCGTAAACATTTTTCCTCCAGACATTACAACGCCGAAACTGTGTTTATTTGATACTTGTGTTTCTCTGCAAGGACTTGAGAAAACCATTTTAATAACTGAAGGACAAAAAACAAAACAAATTCCAAAGGCATTACATCAAGAGAAACTCCTGAACATATAAACAGTTATTTGAAAAAGTCCGTGTGTGTCTTCTTATAATTTGCGAATTGCGAAATTGATTGTCACCACACCTCACATGTACCCTTAAGATCCCCGGTGAATGACATGAAAGAGTCAGCTTTCGGATATGATCACCCCACCCCCCGTGTATTGAACGGATACTTCTACTGGAATTTTATACATGTATTGGAATCATCTACAGTAGCGTTTCCCTGGGGTTCCGTACAATATATCCAGGGGTTCTGGGAGAACATTGTGTGTAGTGAAGACGGAGTAAAAGAGTAGGTATGGTTTAATTCTAATTATTGTATAAATATCAGAAATATAAAGTTGTATACATTTATTTGTGTGTGTAGTGACCTATTGTAGAAAGATGATAACTGTTTTCATGATTTGCCGTTTTAACATCAAAATGTTTCGTAAGGGTTTCGTCAATAGTTTTAAAGCTCAAAAGTGTCCCGTAGCCGAACGACTTTGGGGAAACGTTCACCAAAAACGTAAAGGAAACATAGATAACATAACAACGTACATAACTTTTCCTGAATATACGGAAACAAAAGACGTGTACTCCACGTGGTCAACAGAACAATGTGTATTACAAGGTCACTGAATATACAGAAACAAAAGACGTGTACTCCACGTGGTCAACAGAACAATGTGTATTAAAAGGTCACTGAATATACAGAAACAAAAGACGTGTACTCCACGTGGTCAACAGAACAATATGTATTAAAAGTTCCCTGAATATACAGAAACAAAAGACGTGTACTCCACGTGGTCAACAGAACAATGTGTATTAAAAGGTCACTGAATATATGGAAACAAAAGACGTGTACTCCACGTGGTCAACAGAACAATGTGTATTAAAAGTTCCCTGAATATATAGAAACAAAAGACGTGTACTCCACGTGGTCAACAGAACAATGTGTATTAAAAGGTCACTGAATATATGGAAACAAAAGACGTGTACTCCACGTGGTCAACAGAACAATATGTATTAAAAGGTCA